CAGCCAGTCTCCACATAGTTGATGGATCCTATCATCACCATGTTAACCTCTTCTATGGATTCTCATTTTCGAGATAAAGTCCTGTGAGACTGCCCCCCCCACCCGGCGCCATCTTGTTCCATTCTCCCACAGCTCCTGGTGCTTCAGCCTCACTGGATCCTAGTTGCCCAAAGTTGTCATTCTTTATCCTGCCCATGTCTTCACCCCATGCAGCTTCCTCCGCCCTGTCCACACACAGCTGCACTCACACCCGGATACACCATTCTTCCCAGTGGATCTTACTCAGCACCAGGCCTCACCCTCAACACCATTAGCTCAGAGAAACTGCACCTGACTCCCAGATTTGGTTATCTTCCTGTCATTTACTCCACAGCACGAACCACAAAAGTGACTACTTGACTGCAGTGTCATCCTGCTAGGCAGCAAGCTCCTCGGGGACAGGGACCTTGTTCCCTTATTCACCTCTGGGTCATCAGTATTAACTGGCCTAGAAGAGATTCTAAATACGCTGAACAAAATGAAATGGAATTAGTGAATAAATAAATGAAAGACGCTAAATAAAGCAGTCTGTCTTTACATGGCCTGCGAGGAGGAAAAAAAAGGTTATAAATAGAAAATACGAAACAAGGGGATTCACTCTCCAAACCGTGAATGCCTCTGGACACTGGAACTCTCGTTAATTTTGATGAGGTTCACCCGTTCCCTCCTTCCCGTGGGCTTAAAAGGTCAAAGCAAAAATGTGGAATTTACATAGTGGAGATCGGCCCACAACTTTGTGAATATTCTAAAAGCCACTGAATGGGGCACTTTAAAATGGTTAATATGGTGAATTTCATGTTCGGTAAATTGTACCCCAAGTGGGGGAGAAAAAGAGCTTAAAAAATCACCACTGTCCCCACAGGAGAAAGTGAGACAGAAAGACCAGCTCCCAGCTGAGAGACGGGAGCCTGCAGCTGGGGGTGGGGGCGGAGCAGGGAGAAGGCAGGAAGCGGGGGAGGCGAGCAAGAAGCTGTTTGCCCACCTAAAATGAATGTAACATGCTGTGTCAACTATATTCCAGATTTTCTTTGTAAAATAATAAAATGAAATATAAAAGTAAAAACAAAATAAGCAAAACAGGGAGCTGGTCTGGACAGCCAGTAAAGGCTCTGCTCTGTGACCCCGAAACCAGGCCATGTGTCGTCCATCTCCTTAGTGACAGCAAGGTGACAGGAAGCACCTGGAGCCCTGCCCTCCACTGCTCTCCTCTCCACATGCCCAGGGCTGAAGATCCTGTTCCTCCGAGGGTCTGTGTAGTGAGGGACCGTGCTCCAAATGCCACCATGCATCCAAGGACCTTATCCTGATGGCACCTCGGCCCCTCCCTCTCCCAGGACAGAATAGGACAAAACACCGAAGAGGCCCAAGTGATCGGGGCTGTCGCTGTTGGATTTGTACAAGTTACAGAAAAATCATCGTATGTTTGGTAATAGACTCAATAAATAATGTAAGAGAACCAACTGGACCACAAAAACAGAAGGGAGTATAAACTGAAGACAAAAAATAAATTATGGTATTTGCCTTCCATCCAAACTTCTCCCACTGTATTAAAAAAAAAAAAAAGGCCCTCAAGTTCAACTTCATTGTTGTCTATAACTTCCTACCATCCCATCTTTCTCCTTTCTCTTACAGCCTAGCCTCTTAGAAGAATTTGTCTGCTCTTTTGGTCTAGAACTCTTAATTTCCCATTGGATTCTGTGACTTGCTGAAGTCTGACTCCAGTGAAAGTATCTGGCAGAGGTGAAGATTGACCTTCTAACTACTGAGGCATCCACTTATCCATACCAGTCTATATCCTTATATAGACAGGAGCTCGTCTTGCTCCATGCATGGCCTCTAGTGTCCATTGGTGAGGTTCAAATCTGCTGACAAAGTGGCATCACAGATCCAACAGAGAATGGTTGCACGGGATCGAAGGAGCTGCTGAGCTGGAACTCCAGTCATGGCTACCACTAGGGGGACCTGGACATGTGGGGGTAATTAGACAGGTCTTCCACCAAAGTCATATTTGCAGGGACCTCCCAGGAGAGAGCACAAGCTGAGAAAAGGAACCAAGTATATAACAAACTCCTAAGGTACCAACACATACTCATTGGAAGGAAGTAGGGGTTTCCAGCATACTATTTCTAAAATCTTCCACCAGTGGATGCCCCAAACCTGGAGATCCGTCCAACAAATAACATGCCTCTGAAAAACCGTGACTCAAAGGGGAGGGAACCATGCCCCCTCACTCTGTCACAAATTCCCCTGAAGTTTTGGCACCTTGACTGCCTAGGGTGGCCATGGCAGAACAGGACCATGAATAGTAGAGTGGGAAGCAACAGTGCCTTTGACCCCCAGCTACTGCAGAGCCACAGCCATGTGGCTGGAGAAGGCCCACCATGCCCAGGGGAGAAATGCCTTATCCGGAGAATCCCGTGGGAGAGAAACACAGATGTAATGCCACCAAGGACTCCCAGGGAAGCATTTCTGGTTGGAGAGAACTCAGCGGGTGCCGAGGGCCTCATGTCTGCAGGTAGACGTGAGAAGCTGGGGAAAATTTTTCTTTCTTTCTTTCTTTTGTCCCTCCCTTGGCTTCTGAGACTCCATTCTCTCCTGGTTCTTTCTACTTCTCTGATTTCTTCCTTCTCATCTCCTCTGTGGCCTCCTCTTCCTCGCCGTCTCCCTAAATGTTGGTGGCCCTCAGTGTTGCATTTTTCCTTCCCTACCCTTCTCATGTTTTACTCAATCTCTCTGGCTTTGATTACAACCTCTATGCTAGTAACCGATGATCCTGTTTCTTAGCCCTGACCACCTCCTGTGCCTCCTATACAGAAGGCAACTGTCCATTGAACAAGTCCCAAGTGCCTCAAATAGAATACATCCAAAATGGCAGACATCATTTCCTGCTTAATATCTGTTCTTCCCCCTAAATTACCTATCTCAGAGAAGAGAGTGCCCATTTACTCCAGTGAAGAACTGGGAAGTCAAGCTTGGTGTTGCCCTCCTTCATGACCACATCCCAGCGATCACCAGTCCCGTTGGCCCTGCCTCAGTCCCTACCACCCAGACCAGCCCATGGCCTCATCTACTCTTGTCTAGCCCTATTGCTGTCATCACAACTGGTCTCCCAACCAATTTCCCTTTATGCCTTACCACCCCAAGTCAGATTACTATCCTGCTTAAATTCCTTTGTTTGCTTCCCTTGCACTCCCCTACCCTCCCGCCCCCAGCCAAATCAAATACCTGTCCCCATCAGTGAAGGAGACTGTTTTCACCTTTTCCAGGGACATGATATATGTTTGTCTTGAAGAAATATGGTAGCTCAGCAGTAATATTCTGTACAGGTCCTTGATGGATCTATTTTTACTTCTATTCAGGAAAACCAAAATCCTTTTATATACCACTCAGAAAAATACCACTCAAAAACCTTTTATATACCACTCAGAAAAAAAGGGCATTGTTTTATCCATTCTTGGCAAAGACAACTCAGCTCTTAACAAGCAGGGTGACTATGAAAATATTTTGCTTCAAGTTAACATTTAAATATTTAATTAGAAAGCTTTCAAATGGAGGAGGGCATTCACTAGAAGGTTGCTGAAAGCTTCATTCATTTCACAAATAATGCTTTTGTGTAAGCACCATGCCAGGCCCTGAGGAACTGGGTAGACATGGCCTTGCCCTTCTGACCATGTGCCCAGGGAGGGGCCGGCCCACCCCAACATTGCTGCCCCATCTCAGGTATGTCCCTCTCCCACTAAGTGCTAGATCTAGCAGCTTCTGGCCTACCTGGCTACGTTTTCCCCCATCATAGTTAACAAAGAGGCAATTTCCAAAACGCAGGTGTATTAGGGTTCTTCAGAGAAGCAGAACCAATAGGGTGTGTATATACATACATAAGGAGATTTATTCTAAGGGATTGTTTCATGCAACTATGGAGGCTGACATATCCCAAGATGTGCAGTGTGCATTGAAAAGCGAGAAACCCGGGAAAGCTGGTCATGTTAAGTTCCAGCCTGAAAGCTGGTGGGCTCAAGAAGAGCGATGCTTCAGTTTAAATGTAAAGGCAGGAGAAGATGAGTCCTCACTCAAGGCCATCAGTCAGTTGGAGATCCCTTTTACTTGTGGGCGGCTCAGACTCTTTGTTTTATTCAGGTCTTCAACTGACTGGATGAGGCTCACCCACATTGGGGAGGGCAATCTGCTTACTGGGTTTACCAATTCAACTGTTAATCTCATCCAAAAACACTATTACAGACATGCTTAGAATAATGTTTGACAAATGTCTGAACACCATGTAACCCAGTCAAGTTGACACATAAAATTAACCCATCACAGCATGTCAATATATTTGACTGAACCTAGAATACTTTTAGAAAATATCAACCCTCTAATACATTTTTAGAAATAAGTTTAATACATTTTTAAAAAATGATTGAGGGCTTAGGGTGGAGAATCACCTGGGAAATCATTAAAGCTAGGTCCACATGGACGGACCTTGAGGACATGGTACTAAAGTGAAATAAGCCAGACAGAGAAAGACAAATACCATATGATCTTACTTATATGTGGAATCTAAAAACAAACAAAACCAAGCTCGCAGATATAGAAAAACAGATATGTGGTTGCCTGAGGCGGGGGGGGGGGGGGGGGGGGGAATTCGGCAAAATGGGTGAAGGGAGCCAAAAGGTACAAACTCATAGTCATAAGATAAATAAGTCACGGGGATGTCATATACAGGAAGGTGACTATAGTTAACAATACCGTCTTGTATATCTGAAAGTGGCTAAGAGAGTTAATCTTAAAAGTTCTCATCACAAAAAAAAAATTTTTGTATCTATGTATGGTGATGGATGTTCACTCGACTTATTGTAGTGATCATTTCACAATGTATACATATATTGAATCATTATGTTGTACGCCGGAAACTAATATAATGTTATATGTCATATGTTATATGTCAATTATACCTCAATAAAAAGGAAAGAAGATATACGGATGGCAAAGAAGCCCATAAAAAGATGCTCCACATCATATGTCATCAGGGAATTGCAAATGGAAACAAGAGACCACTACACACCTCTTAGAATGGCCAAGATCCAGAACACTGACACCACCAAATGCTGGCAAGGATGTGGAGCTATGGGAACTCTCCTTCATTGCTGGAGGGAATACAAAACAATTCAAACATTTTGGAAGACAGTATGGAAGTTTCTTATAAAACTAAACATACTCTTACCATATGATCCAGCAATCACACTCCTTGGTACTTACCCAAAGGTCCACACAGAAGCCTGAACACACATGTTTAGAGCAGCTTTATTTATTTATTTTTTTAAAAAAGCTATACCTCCAACTGTGTACGAGAAAAACATGTTGGTCAGAAAAGGAGGACTTTATAACCTTGAATGAAAGCAGGAACACTCTTCTTAACTCTGGCCAAGTCAGGAAACCCAAATTGCAGCTCTATATCACTGTTTCAATTACGCTTTTGAGGGTGCCCTATTGGGATGCCTGGGTGGCTCAGTCATTTAGGCATCTGCCTTCAGCTCAGGTCATGGTCCCGGGGTCCTGGGATCGAGTACCACATTGGGCTTCTTGCTCAGCGGGGAGCCCGCTTCTCCCTCTGCCTGCCTCTCCCCCCTGCTTGTACTCTCTCTCTCCCATAAATAAACAAATAATTTTTTTTAAAAAAGAGTGCCCTATTGATCAAATGGTTAGATAATAAACTAATTCTAAGACGCACATATGTGAAGTTGTATTTTTTTCATTCTCCATGTCACAAAACAGAATGACTGGCACAAGGATGAAGAAATACTTATTCAGAACACCAAGAAGGGCCAAATGCCAAGAGTATTTAAAGTGTAAGACCCTCCTTTTCCTTGGAGAATCTAGTGCCCGTTCTTGGTTCTGGTCTGTACACCTCTCCTAAATCCCTGTAACTGACAAGGACAGTGGCTGCCTACGTTGTAGAATTTGAGTCAGAAAACATTTCCACTTCCTGCCACCACCATTGGTGTGGCTCTCTTAAACTATCTTATTTTGCAAGAAAGACCTAGTTAAGATATGATAAAAGTTCAGTGAAAGTATAACCTATTCTTATTTTCTGTTACTATGAGAGAAATTTGGGGGTACCTCTGAGATACAAGAATTACGGCACTTAAATATGGCAAAAGTCATCACCAAACCAAAAGAGATGTGGGATTTCCAGAATTTTAAAAGTAATAACAGCTAATGTACTTACATGGTATTTATGACTTATTTCTATATATATTACATATATTAACTCATTAAGCCCTCACGTCCCTATGAGGTAAGTACTCCTCTTATCTCCATGTTATGGATGAGAAATCTAAAGCGCAGAATGGTTAAGTCACTTGCTTAAGGTCATGTGGGTGGTGGAATCCAGATCCCGACACGAGTCTGGTCCCAGAGGCTCTGCACTGTACCACTCATCTCTGCTTTCATGACAACCTAAGGACAGGAGGTGAAGAAACACACACATTCAGAAATGACGACCATGAGGAAGTCAGAAGACCCCTGGAGTGTCTATAATTTCGCTCCTCTTGTTGTTTTTCAACAGCTCTGTCTCTTTCCCTAGAGTTAATCCAGGAAAATCTAGGAGGGAGGGAAAAAAGAAGGAAAAGAGGGAGGGAGGGAAGGAGGGACAGGAAAGCTGGGTGGAGCCCTGGACCAGTTGCATTCCCTTCTACTGTCTGAAAGGATTGTTGGTGGCCATGTAGATGGCAGCAGATTTAGGAAAGCAAAGAAAAAAAAAAAGTTCAGCCTCTGGGGCTTTGAAGAAGAAAAAGAAAGTGAAGAGTGGAGCCTGGCTTACCAGAGAGAAGGCACACTGAATTCGCAGACACACGTCCATTAGCATCCATGAATCCCTTATTTCCTGAGATCACGTTGGCCAGACTGTCCTATGGCAGAATCTTCAGGTCAAAGAAATGATTTGCTTTGATTGGGGTTTCCCCCTAATACAGAGAATTCCTGAAAGGCCAGCAGCACTTAGCAATAAACCCAGAGCGGGAACAACAAAATCACCAAGCACAGCAGCCATGTAGGGAAGAAGACATTTGGAGTGAAGGGGGCCTTCAGGAGCTACAGTGGCCCAAAAGGATGGTATGAAATTTTTGTTGTCTGGCCAATAACATTAAAAGTTCTTAAACAGCGACTTGATTTCATACAGTTGTTTTGAAGAGAGGAGTTGCTTCAAAAAAATTATGTGAACTGCATTATCAATGCATTTACAAATTATCGGTTGAAGCATAGAAGTTTCAAAGAACAAACCACATGCTTTTCACACACATCTCTAGTAACTAGGGGTGTAGTAATTTCGTGGAGGATGTCTGGAATTGCTTTTAGGGACACTTAAGTACTGCCATGATTACCTGATTTTTCTCAAACCACAGTAGTCCTACATTACACATAAGAAAAGGTGATTAAATATTTATAAGACTTAGATTATTTTATTTACTTTTTAAGATTTTGTATATTTATTTATTTAGAGAGAGCACGTGTATGCATGTGACCCCAAAGGGGGGGTGGCAGAGGGAAAGGGAGAGAAAGAATCCCAAGCCAACTCCACTCTGAGTATGGAGCCCGACACAGGGCTCCATTCTGCAACCTTGAGATCATGACCTGAGCAGAAATCAAGAGTCAGGCACCCAACCGACTGAGTCACCCAGAAGCCCCAGACCTACATTATTCTAAAAGATGAATAAAAAAAAAAAAAAAAACCACAACTCTGTAAATTGGATTAATTCGTAGAATTTTACACACAAAAAAGATGATGTTGCAGAAAACATAGCATCTTTATTGGCATATGAAGGTACTCATTCTTCGTGGTTGCCCTGGGTATGTGACACGTTAGTGTTCTTGTTGTTTATACGTTGTTTCTGTAAGAGCCTACTGACTTTGTACTAAAAATGTACAGTAAAAATGATTTCATTAAAAACAAAGCAGTAACTACAAAAACTCACTTACAAGAGAAAGTAGCCCTTGGACTTTCAACTTGAATGAAACAAGAAACTTACCCCAGATTCAAAATGTCTAAAGGCTCTCTCGGGCCTCGTGGGCAGAACAAGAACTGTATATCCAATTAAATGTACAATTATGATTAAATGTCTTTGCATCCGTGGCCCCCAACCAAATTCTCTAGGAAGTGTGTGCATTAATGAGCAGCGAGGCCACTGGCTAATGGTGCTCAGTTAAAGATGCAAATGGATGTGAAAAATCAAGATCCTCAGGCCAGGCACTGAATGTGCCTTTGATGAAAGAAAACGTTGCATTTCCAAGTTGGCAGAGATGAATGAAGGTGGGAGAGAAATCGGGTGCCTTTTCGGGGATGCCTTGGAGCTTCATGTACACTAGCGTGTAGGATGGAGCTGGTCATTCTGCTAGGCTTGCTGCATTGCTTGTATTGTTTGGCAGGGTGCTTTGCCGGCAAAGCCCAGAATTTGAAACCAGTCAGAATTCATCTTAACTATTTGGACATGATATTCCCCTAACAGATTGGTTTGAATATGTATCTGCTGGGATAGAGAATTAATTGAATTCCTTGATGAATTTTATGAGCCATGCAGCTTTGTAATTCTAGCAGAGAGATGGCTTATTAATTTGAATTAAAAAAAATAAATAAAAAGCAAGGAAATAAAACCATTTATCCAACATGAAAAAAACAAAAGAATCTTAAAAAATCTGAAATTACAATTTTCCGCTAAACACCTCCAGATACGGATGATTTCCAAAGAGCTAAGATCTCAAACAAATGTGTCTTAACTTTAAAAGATACACATGCCCAAAGGAAGTTGAGATGGCACATAGATTTGAAGTATTAGTTGGGTTTAATCTGTCTTTTACAGCAACATAGGACTTCACCATAGAGTGGCATTCTAGAAGGAAGCCTGCCAGTGTATGGGGTGAGGCCTGGGAAGGTGGCAGGGGAGCTGGGATTCTTTTTTTTTTTTTTTTTTAACAGGTGTTAGCAGAGGAAAACTCCCGAACAGTAAATCTGGTGCTCACTGAGCTAAAACAACACAGGACACCGTTGCCTCAACCCAGGTCCCAAGAACTGGCTAAGTACCCTCTTTAAATGTCCAGTGAGGGGCTTTGGTGTTCTCAGTCTACTTCACCCTGCCCCTTCATCCTGCTGGCAGGAGCCAATCCTGGCCTGCAGCCCACCCCACCATCAGGTTTTATGATAAAATCATTCTATTTCTCTTCTTATAGCTCGTCCCTGAGAGATGGGGGAAAGTTATAGAAAGAAGGCATCTGGGCATTTGGGATTATATTAGATTTGTAATTAGATTGTCTTCACTTCTTTCAAAATATTTAGTTTCTAAATGAATCCAGCTTTAAATGCCTGAACTGGTTCATGCACAGTTCTTCCCAAATCTTGGGGTTTCATTCATGAAAAACTCTCCAGGGGTGTTGGGCTGGCTCTCTGAAGAGGTGCTCTTTCATATGCAGAATCTAGAATGAGCTGACCCTTAAGAGTAACTGCTGAAGTTTAACAAACACACTAACCACCCGAAGTGCTAAAGGTTGAATTGTCTTTACAACTTCACGTGGGGTCCTATACAAGCAAAGGGCTCTGTTCCTAGACACAGACCAGCTTCCTGATCGCCTATGGCCAGAACCTCTTCTTAAAGATGCTATGTTAGGGTCCAGTCTCTGTGCTATGAGGTATGGCTCTCATGACCCAACCTCATGGCACACCGAGTTTTGAAAATATTCACACTTTGAATAGCTCTGATTCTGAGTGGTGAATGTAGCTCTTAGTATAGATCTCTGTCCCCAGTGCCTACACAATGGGTGTGTTAATAACGTTGGTTGGCTATTACATGATAGATAAGGAAGAATAATAAGCAGCAAGAGAGCTGGTTGTCTCAAATTCCAGCTCCTGTGACAAATTACCTGGGTCATTATTTTCATGACTCCTTCTCCTAAAAGCCCCACCGTCAAGGGTCCCACACACATTTCCCCAACCAGTAGGTCAGTATCCAACCTGGGCCTCCAACAGTTTTCCACATTGATATTAATAGGTTTTCAAGGGAGTTCTTGCACAGATTAAAAGGGTGATGATCTGCAGGTAACGTGAGGAGCACAGGGTTCCTGAGTGTTTGTGGCTGTCAAACCCAGATGATTTCTTCCCTAATCATGCAGATTTAAAAGTCCAGAGTCGGCTCCCAGAAGCCCTTGCACAACACAGAGGTCAATGTCTGCAACTTTTTACTGTCACGTACACATTCTGCACGATCTGCCAAATTTGTTAAAACTCCAGTGAGTCAGAGCTTATTTTCTTGTGCAGATTTTGGATTTATAACCAGGGGAAAAAATTAGACACACACAGGAAAAAAAAGATCTAAAAGAAACTAGACCGAGCCAAAGAGAAACAAGCTTGTGATGAAGTAACCATTTCAACTACTTGAAAATATTTATCTGCTTTTGATGCACTACTATTAGTTATATCGCTGTGAAAATAATGTTTGAATAAAAAGAGGAGCTGGCGGGGTGCCTGGCTGGCTTAGTCAGTAGAGCATGT